GAAGGGAAAGTTTTCAAATGCCTTTTGACATAAATACATACATTTCATTTTTGAGAAGTGATTAAGAATGAAATCCTGACTTCTTCAAAAGCAGTATCAATTGATTCAGAACATCAATATGGGCAGTCTATATTTTACAGGACCCTAAGTATCAGAGATATTTTATTTGGTTTCCATGTAACTAATTTCTTTCGGAAACAGCATTCAAAACTTTTTATCATTCAAGTGCTTTAGAAAAATTCAGCTGTACTGTATACACACCGTGTCTATTGAAGCAATTATTGAGGATTATATTCCAGAATTTCTTCTCACTACTACTTTGATCTGAAACATGCAAAAAGAAATTTCTTTCAGTTAAGAGGACTAAGTTGGAGACCAAATCCTCTGGGTGACAATTGCAGGTTGTGGAGCCTCCTTCTCTGGAGATACTCAGAAGCCTCATGGACAGGAGCCTGTGCCCTGGGCTCTGAGGGACCCAGCCTGAGCAGGGAGCTTGGACCAGAGGACCTCCAGTGCTCCCTTCCAATTGACCCATTCTGTGATTCAGTGAATGTAAAGCTGAATTCTTCTTGAAGCACCTTTTAAAGCACCTAAACCATACTTGCTTTCCAAAATGTCCTCTTAGACAAATATCATATTGCCACATTATCCTTTGTATTTTAAAAGCTTCCCTCTCTTCTTTCTACTCCCTGAATCTGCTGGTTTAATCTCTCATAAACTTTGCCAGGTCATCAGCTGCTATTCCAGAGATTTAGTTTTTAGGAGAAATTAATAGAGTTAAAACCGTCTTTATTATATTGAAATTATTAAAGATCCGTGATGAACTTCAATGTTTTTCACTACAGAAATTGATTCAAGCATTTGCACAAAAGCTGAGCTCAATCAGTACCAATAAAAAGCACTTTTAAAACATCAGAAGTAAAAGACCTTGACTAAATGTATAATTTGACTGTGAAACTATGATTACCATGTACATGTACCCTACTGAAGTCCACATGGGATACTTGCATTTATTATTTAAGAATCCCTAAGAGTATGGGCAGGGCTCTGTAAGGCCCAAATAATTCAAGTCTCTGCCAAATCACATTCTCTGCTATTACATGCTCTTCATGCAGGGAATGTCACAAGCAATATTATAAACACAGGTTTGTAAATACTCATTTTTTTATGCTGCATAGGCAATTTTATGAGACTGAAATATTCAACAAGAGAAGGTTTAGACTAGCAAGCCTTTTCATACTGAAATGCCTGGGAGGCTGAAGAAACATTCTCCCCAAAACATAAATACCCAAGGAAATGTTGGTTATACCCCTGTTAATTCAATACACCCCATTTACACATGTACAAGCTGCTGAATAATGGCCATGGTCTGCCATGAGCCTGTGCAGGATTACAATTCACATTTGTGAACTCATTTTCTCTTAACTAAACATCTGAAGCACTTCATTTCAGAGTTGGCATAAACTAAAGACAAAGAATCTGCTTTGGAAACATTTCCTTGTTCCTTTTGCCTGTGGTCTTCCACTATTGTAGCAGACCACTATGCTTTTCATTTCAGAGTAAAGGATCTCAGCTGTCCTTTTTGCTGGAGCTGCTCTCTTTGCTACAGCTGTTCTTGTGGTCACAAGCACTGCTTACAGGCGGTTCATGCTCCACTCACAGCTGCTCCTATCAAGACTCCAGGTAAGCACTGTGTGCTGTTCACAGAATAAATACTCTTTAAAGAATTATTTTTTTGCTACCCCAACTGTCTGAAATACAATCAAACTAAGTAACTTAAAATAATTTCTCTAGAGACATTATGCTTGTGTTCATGCCACCTAATATTTTTGTGAACACCTTGGCAAAATAAATACTATTATTTGGAAGACTATTGGGATTATTCCTACAGGCCCAGTTAAGGCTGGACATCATTTCACTATGCACTTCCTTAACTTAAATGTGCATAGAAATACACACAGGTCCAGCACATGGAATTGCATTATTGCATATGATGGAGAGTTCCATACTTCCCACTCCTATATTGCAAAATTACATGGTGCTATTGCTTAATATTTCTCTGATTTTCGCAAGTCTAGACCATGCTTTAAAGTAGGTAACACTGAGCACCACCCAGTACTGTTTGTAGAAAATATTTAGATAAAACACATGTCTAAATTACCTTAGACATGATACAATGCAGAAGGATCCAGAGTACACTTGCTGCTTTCCATTGTGGCTTGCACTTGGAGACAGAACCTAAATGCTCTAATTATGTTAGTCATTCTGACATAACTATCAAGGTCAAAATAAATGCAAAGGGATCATTTTCACTGGTTTAATGTTAGTTTTCATTTACCATATGATTATAAAACTTTCAAAGTGTTGTTTCCATCCAAACCAACATTCATCAAATGTTGCTAAAGAATAAATTGTATAGCTAACTCTTCTTCCAAAACAAACTCCTTAGGAACACTTATCACCAAATTAGATGGAAGAGAGTGACAATCATGATGAAACAGCAAAACAGGGAAAGATGTAAAAAAAAGTCACTGTTTGTGCTCTACAAATACATAATTATTATCTTAAGAAAACGGAAGTATATGTACTTTTTTAAAAACAAAACATTCTCCTATATTTTCTTCTTACAGAAATTAAATCTAAATTCTATGTTTGGGGCTGAGCTATTCACTAGCTGGAAAAAGCATGAAGCTTTTTCACTCCTCAACTGTCTTTTTTAAAAAGTGGCTTTCCATAAGAACTGCTAGGAAGCAACTGGCAGCTCTCTTTCCACATCATCCATCCTTGTGTAGGACAACACAACTGTTAAATTGCATTTTTCCTATTAGAAACCCATCCCCTGGTAGTTTGGGTTCAGTTATGAACTTTCTGAGTGCAGCAGCCCCTTGACAACTGCCAGTCTCTTGGTTATTGCACTGATTCATAAAAATATCCCTTCTAGCTGCTTCAAAGAGTCCAGGCAGGGTTTAGATCCTTCTGATACAATTTTCCCCTCAGACACTGCAGAGAGCAGCTCAGACTTCTAGTATTTTACCAAGGTTTTGCACTGCCTACATGGGCTCTGTCACACAGACCCTGCTGCTGAGATCTGAGGAAATGGCCACACCTGATTACATAAAAATCTGCATCACTTCTGTTAATTCATTTCCTCAGGTTTGGTTACACACACACCACCAGATGTGGCCATCATTAAATTGCATTTGTGCTGGAAATCTGCATTAATGCAGATTGCAGAGGGTACTCAGTGCTCCATCCACATTTGTGCCAAATTAAGACCCAGGGTTTCTGTTTGCTGCATGGACAATTGTCATTGCCAGGTCTCTCCCCAAAACTCCAATGAGGGCACTCACAGGGGAAAGGACCTAAATGCAGACTCTGCAATACCTCTCAAAATACTTTTCCTGAGCCTTTTCATTAAAAGCAGAATCACGTTACAGCTCTACAACATCTGTAGGCATCCAGAAGCTGACCCAAGATTCCCTCTTATTCTTGGCTTGTTCAGAGGGAACAAGATCTGCTCCTCTCATCAACCACGTTGACTGTAGGTAATGTTAACAAATTAAATTATTCAGTTGCACTGTTAGGGAAGTTCACAAGAGTGGAGGACATAAAAAAAAACCCCAACACAAACCAGGGTATTTTATTATACCTTGTGGTTGAAGAAAAAATTTGAACTTTGGTTAATAATTGACCAAAGCACTTTTAGTGAGGGTCAGGGAGGGAAGATTCACCTTTCTGCAGCTGTTTATGTGAGTGCTTTACTTTTTAAAAATAAAGTTAAATACATTCTCTGCTTTCAGAAGCTATTGCCATATTCTTAACTACCACTACTACTTTTTAGCAAACTTCTGCTAAAGACATTTTTCTGTTTTGGACTGGAAATTCTATCCAACACTTTACGTTATATTAATCTAGCATTTCTGTGTGGCAAAAGAAAAAGGCAATGTTACATAAAGACAATTCATTGCAATTGTGTATTGACCATCATTAATAAATCAAACTTTCACTGCCATCTATAAACCACTGATTAGTTTTGGCACTAGGAAAATTATAACTAATAACATTATAGCTTTTCTCTTCTCTTGTTCCTTGCTTCTGAAATCCCACTATTTCCTTTATACTTATGGCCTTCATATACTTCTTCATTGCTTTTATGTAAATTAATTAATCCAAATTCAGAATAAATTTCCTTTCCTAAAATCTCTCAGAAATTGGACAATTTCATCCTGATTTTTAGAAGCTGAATTCCTGTTTGGTGGATTTTGTTTGTTTTTTTCTATAACTGTTTCTTTGACATTTACTATTTTCTAAATGCAGATATTCTGAGGTAAGCAGGATAAAAGCCAAACAGAACTGCAGATGAGAAGAAAATTACCCCAATTTATGACATTGGAGATGGACTGCTTTTGCATTTTCATCAGCTGAGAATAAAGAATTTATTTGGCTGCTCTGAACAATGAATTTGCAATTTGCATAGAAAAAATGATGGCAAAACCTCAGAACCCATCAGTGTTTTACCACAAGATCAGGTCTATTACATTTCAGTGGAGGTTCAAAGTTGTCTAAAAAAACCCATTCTCTTCTTTCCCCAACCGTAAATGTGTCACTTGAGAGTTCAGCATCCAATTGGAGCAGTATCTGACACCAAACTAATTTTAGAATATAAAGTGCTCTTCACCATATTGGAATACATATAATTTAAAATAACTGTAAACCTAAACTTTGGAAAAACAGAAAATTCAAGCACTAACAAAAAAGCATAATTTGTAATTGAAAGAAAATAATATTTGAAAGGAAAAAAACCTTTTTTTTTGTCTTTCCAAAAAGAGACAGAAATTACTAAGTTTTATATCCCAAGAGAATTATGCCACTTTTATAAAGAAAATTACAGTCACCACAAATTGCTCTCAACAATTCCAAAGCTTCTTCATTTGACCACTTGAAAATCAGAGTTCTTTAAGATTATAAATATAACTTTTTATAACTCTGTTATTACGTACTGTGAATGGGGAAAGGGGGCCAATCTTGTGGCCGTAGCGCCGAATGGCCTCTCTGATGTGGCTGGGCTGGATGGCATCACTTTGAGCCTCCATCCCACAGGCTGCAGTGCTCTGCAACAGAAAAACACATAAATTGTTACTAAATCAAAAACACACAACAGACCTACAGTGCATAAAGTATGAAAATAAACCTTTATAAAATGGACCAATTTTTTTTTTTTTTCCTGAGGATACACATCATTGGTGCCACACACTACATCAGAGAAAAAAAAGCTATTAACAAATTAAAGAGGACTTTTACATGAACTTTGCTTAAGAGACCCAAAGAACACCATGTTAGTCCTTTTAAATCTTTCACCTAGTGCTGCTCTGTGTTGCAATTGCAAAGAGCAGAAAATGTTCAAACTAAAATGAAAGGGTCATATAAGTCATACTTCAATAACCACAGAAACTATTTTTAAAACATTTCAGGCTCTTATTATGATGTCAAGGGGTGGGGAAAATATTGAACAAGCACCTGAAGTGGAAAGAAATCTGACACCAAAATAACCATTGAAGAGTATCAACCTGAAATTTGAAGCTGAAACATGTGACATAAGGGTGTTAGAAGGATACAAAAATTTTTTAATTGCCTCAAAGTGACTTTATTGATTATGGACTCTCAATATGTAAAAATAAGAATTCACTGCTATTGGCAGATTGTACAATAATTTTCCTGGGATTTTAGAAGAAAAAGTTACTCTTTTCTCCTTGCTAGACAACTTGAAATATTGATTTAGGCTCCACCTAGACACAGCTGCTTGCCAGAATTCAGATGATTTATCTAATGATGGCTGCTTGTCAATAAATGACTGAAAATTGTATTAGTGAGTGCACTGAGAATGACAAAAACTTTAATTATACACTGAAGTTTAATGTACACACATCCATGGCCCCCTCATACATTCACATCATATCCTAATGCTCTCAGACTTGGGATGTTTTTTACAAAATGTTTTATTTTCAAGAGTGCTGAGTCCACTGGAGCCTGTGAGTACACACAGAATTATTCCTTATACGATGGCAGATTTTTCTCCTGCTGATTGACATCCATAAAGGGAATATGAAACTCAAATCTTTTCTGATGGACTGGACCTTCATGCTAAAAATAGTATTTTTCACCAAGTTAACTTGTTTGCCACATTTATATCCAGTAAATACCTAAGTAAATTGAGTAACTCATGAGAATATTTAATTAAAACTGTGCACTTTTTGGAATATAATTATTTTCAAAGGCATTTAGTCAAGCACTAAGAACTTAAAATAAACTCTCAGCATCAATAAAATATAATGCATCAAAAGCTACACCTCCAGCAACATTTCTGTTCCTAGGAATCATAATGAAAATAAGCCACAGGAACAAAACATAATAAAATATAACCAAAAAAAGGAAGAGGAAAAAGCAGACTCACTAAAAGCTTTCCAGGACTCACTAAACACTGTATAATAAGGCCAGGAGGAAGCTGAACACTTCAGGACTCTCCACAGCATTGATGACACCAGAAGGAGAAAATACATTTTTTCCACCTTATCACTGTAAAAATCACCAGTTTTACCCTGAAAATGAGTATTTTTTAATAAAACACTTGATAAAATCCCAAGTTATTTCACTGCTTTTCAGCAAAATGAGCACTGCCATCACATTTCTTCAAAACATCCCCAAGTGACCAGCACAAGTTTTTCTCTACAGTTTATTTAATCACGTTGATTTCTCTTGTGAGTTTTAGGTACATATATCCCTCTCAATACACCAAGACTCTGCAACAGCAGACAAGAATTGTAACACATATTGCATACTCTGAATATGAGACATCTCTGTTTTATACAAAGCTAACAAATATTTAGCTTGAATGCAAACAACTGGTATAAAAAAAAGGCAAGTCAGGCGAAATTGTTAAAAGCAAGGTTGGCAGTTACCTCAGGCTGCTGGGATCAGGAAGATCACAAGCACCTCTTTGCCTATTTTTCTTGTATTTTGACCCTTAAAACCTGTGCTTGCTGCCCCTGTCAGAGAAGGGGATGATCATTTGGGGTGGTGACAATTGCTGTGCCTGTAGAGGAGCAGGTTATCTTAGAAGCAGCAGATGTCACCTTGACAAAATTCAGTTTGCAGACATTATTAGGAAAATTTAGCATAATTCTGATAGAAAAGAAAACACCAATCCACACATTTGGCCCTACAATAACAATGGCCATTAATATGTGATATAGGTTTAAATTAATATTTAAGACAACACACATTATTTACTGTGAGGATGGTGAGGCCCTGGCAGAGGTTTCCCAAAGAAGCTGTGGATATCCATCCCTGGAAGTGTTCAAGGCCAGGCTGGATGGGGCTTGGAGCAACCAGGTCTTGTGGAAGGTGTCCCTGCCCATAGCACGGGGTGGGAACTGGATCATCTTTAAGGTCCCTTCCAACCCAAACATTCTTTGATTCTGTGATGATTTCCTGAGAATGTTTGGGTTTTTTTGTATTTTTTATTTTTTCCCCCCCAGGATTGTGCACCAAATACCTTTTTTCTTTTCCTTTGTTTGGATTTGGTGGAGTCCTGTCCAATTCCACCGTTCCCCAAGGCTCCTGAGGGGGTTTTCCCAAGGTGTTGCTGCCCTGTTGATGCTGGCGGGGTGGGTGTAGGGGGTGGTGTGTTCTCAGGGGAGTCAAGACTGGTCTTCACACTCGCAGACTGCCCTAAGAGGTGGGGCTGTAAAAGCAAAATGTCAAATAGCCACAATATAAGCAAATCACAAATAAACCCCACCCCATCTATTTCCTTCTCAGATTCCCTGTTGAAAGAGATGCAATACAGAATTTGTTTTTTTCATTCTAGAAGTTACTATGATATCTGTGTAATATCAATGCGTGCAACATAGTACTTAATGCATTTGCCAATTTTGAAAAATTTAATCTCCAAATCTGCAACAGAGCCTTGAACACAGAGAGAAGAAATTTTCACCCAAGAGAAAGGATTTTTATTTGATTATAAAGGCACTGCTGAGAATTTAACATTTAGAATTACAATTTAATATCTTTCCATTTAAATCCATAACTTCGAAGTTCATAAACTCCATAACAGAAGCCTGTACCAATATCACATCCAATAATGACAGCTTTAGAAGAAACTACATTTACAAGCAAAACATAAAATGCATTAATATGTGAAAAAGCAAGTTTACCTCCGTAGAGTTGTGGTACTGTATGAAGGTGGCAGATATGGCATGACTGAATGGGTCACCAGCTTTGGGAGTCATGTCCTGTTTAACCAAAAGGGCCAAGTCCACCAGCTGGAGGGGTAAAACAGGTGGGGTTACTGACATGGTACTAAAATGACATTATAACAATGGGAGAGTGAGGGTTGTGGGTTGAAGCAGAATATTCTCAGTGTTTCTCAGATGAAAATAAAGTTATTCACATATTTCAGCCTAAAGAGCCTTTCTCTTCCACTTCTGTAAATATATGGAGCAATCTATCTACCCAAGAGGGCTCGGCTTGGCACTAAGGTAACATTTTGTTTTCCAGGAAATCCTTCTTTCTACTCCAGTTGTGCAATGGGATTGAATGAGCCTCAGTGCACTGCCAAAGGTCACATAGCAAAGTGTGTGGTTTCAGTTTGGACTTGAAAAAGGTTCGTGCTGGACTCCCCTCTCTCCTGCAGCCATTATAAAACATTTCTGTTTGTGCATGAGATGGATGAACACAGCACAGCACACATCTGTCACACAGCAAATTGAAAGACAGCCTGGATTTTTGAGCTGGTCTCATGGAAAGTGTCCCTGCCCATAGCTGGGGGCTGGAACTGGATGAGCCTTAAGGTCCCTTCCAACGCAAACCACCCCATGACTCCATGAATCCAGCGAGCTTGGAGAGCTGAAGGAGTAACTGTATTCCTGAAGGGCCTGACAACCCAGACCCTGAATCTGAAGTACCTCCAAGAGTAATTAATTCATTTTCACTAGAGTTCCATCAGTCCCTTACCTGGGCCACAGTCTCATATGCTAAATATGCCAAAATCTCCATTGCAACTGCATTTGGCTTTATTTCCATACTGCTACAGTCCAGCCAGTCACGGAACTTGGATGCTTTCTTTGCTGTCAAAAGTCAAAACCATAGGGGAAAAAGAAAAGTTAATGATAGATAGGCTAAAATAATCCATTTTTTAGGTTCACAGAAATACTGCAAAACTCTAGCAATTAGCGTGAATGTGATTTGATTGGCCAAAGAAGGAATTCTCAAAATGGAACCAGTGGGGAAAGACTGCTATTTCATACATTTTGGAGACCCATAAGCACATGGAATAAAGAGAAAAAAACAAGATAATTGATCACACAGGAGATTTCAGAACAAGGAAGGGTCAACCTCAGAGAAGCATGGACCAGACAAACTTGCTTTAGAATATATTACTGTAAAATAAATGAAATTATTGCATCACATCTTTGATGAATTAAAAAACACCTAGAAGAAATCAACACAAATGTGAGTCCAGATAAAATTGACATAATTGTATTAAATATAGCAAAGACACATGAAGGACAGAAGAACTTGGAAGTCCTGGTGTTAACTTTACAGGGCTGAGATGCTCACGAGTGAGCCAAAATTATTTGTACAAGCGTGTTTTGCAAGTGTGCTTCGGATACACATAAATAAGGATAGATGTAAAATTAACATTCATACAAGAACTTCACACTGGTAATGGGTGAGATTGATTCAGAAAAAGGGCAGCAAAATATATGGGATACTGAAATTTAGTATTTGCTTGGAGAGTAAGAGGAAGGAAAAAAGAAGATGATCTTGCTTAGGTCAGTGGTGGACAGGATGATCATAGAAATGTGTGGACATAAAGGAGCTACTGAGACAGAGATCTTAATGAGGGCTGTTTGTGACACAGGACAACCAAAACAAAGTAAATACAAGGTGGAAAAATCATCTGCAAGAACAGGAAACAACTCTTTGAAAAAGAATTTTCAATCAGGACTAAAAAGCTACAGACAAGTCAGGTGTTAAACAGAAAAAAGGTCAATGGAAGGCTACATTGCATCACTAAAGAAAGAAAAAAAACCAAACAAACAAAAATAAAAAGGAAGAAACATGAGAAGTGTGAAGGTGATAAAATGATCAAAAAATGTTCCCTAGAATTTAAGTTTGCAATTCTATAGTACTTGATCCTTTGAGGGACCTTTTCTTTTGCCTGTCTTTAAAACTGCAGAAATATCTGGAGCTGTGATTATTTATATATATATATTTAGAACAGGTTTCTTGAAGTCCCTTCCAGGTTCATTCTCTTGTGACAGAGTTTTTATGGGCTTGTATTACAGCAATACATTTTGTTAAATGTAGTAATACAATCAATTTTTACCGAAATAAACAAGTAAAAAAAGCCTTTGGACAAATATTCTCCATGGCCTTCAGTATGTTCTGTCTAATTGAGCTCATTTTGTGGAATTGAATTTGTGCCCATGTCTCTCTTGGTACTATTTTCTAACCACTGTAATTCTCTTTTTCTTTAATGACATTAAATGTCAGTGAAAAAGAACCATATAGACATGGTCATTGAAAAACACTGTGAAAATAACACTGAGATATTTTTATAGATCACAATCTCTTGGTCAGCAACATTCTATTTTATTTTGAAAATTTAAGATTTTTATTTGTTTTGTCTCCAGATGGCAATTTTGGGGTTTTAAAAATGACTTTATCACAAACCTCTCATTTCCTGAAGTCACTCTAATCTGAAGTATCATTTATTTAATGGTTCACAGATGTGTGATGCCAAATTATAACTAAACATAAAAAACATACTGAATTAGAAAAAGAAATGCTTACAAAACATGTTTTCCTATGTTTGCTGATGTTTGCTGATGGAGAACAGTATCTCAAATGCGTCATTTATTCGCCATAAATGAGTCACTTTTTCTTTGAATTTAAAAGGAAGAACAAGATAAGGTCTCCTTTAATGACATCACTGTGTTCAAGTCTGTGTTGTAGGATCATGTGCTGTTTTGTCAGGATTTTTACTGGCTCATTCACCTCCTTTTCTCTGACATTTGACCTAAAACCTTAGTCATCACTTAACCACTTCTGTAATGATGTTTTACTACAGGATCAAGCCCATTAATTTACAGCTCATTATAGTTGTGGCCCACAAGTACTTCTAGTAAGTTGGTTTTCAGTGCTAGTAAAGCCCTAATTCTGTCATCATGTTATTAGTGTTGGAATGGCGTATACTGATGAACTTGGCTAATGGTGAATAAATTCCACAGCAGGAGCTTACAGCTTAAAATAGAAAAGACTCTTTAGTGAGTTCTTTGTGTCTCTGCAGATCGGGAAATAACATCAAAACTTGCTGCTCTTCTCTAATTTTAGAGGCATTCCAAAAAACCTGCAGCCATGAAACTTTGCTAATGTGCTGACTTTAGCACCACCACGACAGACTTTGGGCAAGTGTGGTTTTAATCCATTAGCTCCTCACCAGTCCTGTCTTTGCAGTCATCCCCACCAGCTCAGTATTTGAGCACATAGAAAGCTTGGTAAATATTCAAATAAAATACTCTGCCTGACGGCCTGAAACTGTGCTAAATTAACTGTTCCCAGGAGTTACACAGACAAAGAATTTAAAGTTTTATTACTGCGGATGAAACAAAAGCACTTTCAAAAAACATGAGGTTCTGGTGTACTCACTATTAAATGAAATAATAATCAAACACCTTAATATAGTGCAGCCATTATAATACTTACAAAAACTCAATTGCCGACTTTCACAGAATTCTGCGTACTGGACTGAGTCCATGGCTCGTGTTTGTCTTTCTGCTCTCTGACAAAAGAGTAAAAGTACATGATGTACCTTATTCCAACAAGACTGCATTCCACAACAGAAATTATAGCACCAAAGAGCCCTTGCCACAACCTTGAAGCAACCCTCCCAAATTAAACATGCATTGAACAAGTCAAGATGCAGAAATATAAACCACAGATGGGTTATTAGTCTTGTGAGTTAAATTTCCCAGAGGGGAGTGTCAATTGCTATTTTCAAAACCTGCCTGCACACTGCTCACCCAGCCCAGTGGTGAGGGCTGAGAAGAGAGAGGTACTGAGCACTGCTGCCCTGATCAAGATGCACATTTAAACTCAAGCACATGAGTATTCTGCTTGTGTGTTTACAGATGACCAGAAAAGTAAAATGTTCTCCTGGACTGAAGCCAACACGTTCTGCACTGAGCAGAACTGAACCTGTGTGATTCTAAATTGTGAAATTAAAAAATTCCATCTCAATGATGCTTCAGACAGAGAGGGGCATTGAAGTGTCCCTTCCCACCCTCAATACACAGTAATGTATCTGTTTCTTTTTTTTTCACTCTCAATTTACACTTCAATTTTTATACTTCTGAACATTTCAGGAAAAGAAAGGAAATTAGATTGAATTAGAGCTCGTGGGAGAAAAAAATATCTTCAGATGTTTACTACTGCATTTAAGAATGTATTTCACATGGAGTTCAGTGACAAGCAAAAGAATGCATCTCAAAAGAGTCAAGTTACAAAACCAAAAACACTATGCACACCCTCCCCTCCACATATACAGGATGCTGTAATTGAATCATGGTTGAAGCAGCTCTGAAGTCCATGGTTAGGTCTGAGCAGGTGCTTGAGTTCTGTTTAATTCAACAGAGCAGGGGTGATTTTCACAAGGTAAAGATCTGGTCTTCACAAGAGATTAAACCCTTCATGCATCAGAGAGGGGAAGCTGTAGTTAAGATTAAAAAGAACGATTGTCCCTTTCAGAAGCAGACAGCTTAGTCCAATCTCTCAATCCAGCAGATTGTTTTAAACAACAAGGAAAGGAATAAAAGTATCTTCCAAAGTAATTCAATTAATAAATCATCACACCTGAGCTATCACTACAAAGTGGTGTCAGGAGGGGCTGATGGCACTGAGACTCTGCTTGTTCAGTGAGCCCAAGAAGCTCAAGAAACCACGAACAAAGAATGAAAAGTACAGGTATGCTCACACCCAGGACAAAAACACAAGGGAAAAACCACCCATAGAGACACGAAATTTCACACTCTGAACAATTTTACATCTGATGAAATCAAAATCACAGAGTTCTGAGTTCTTCAATCTGATTTAATAGAAGACAATAGGGGTATTGGTAAGTAAGTGTGTATATATATATATATATGGCCCCATGCTATACAACCTGGCAGCTCTCAAATCAGGGGAAAAACCAATTAAATAAAATAAGCACTTAAAATTCACAGTTTCTCTCTCTATTCTATGCCTTTTATGTCACTCTCCTACAACCATCCAACCCTCCACTTACAAGATTGGCTTCACAGTCAACACATTCAGTTTAGCTGTAAACTAAACCCCAAGCTGAATAAAAACCAGGAATACACCTGGATTGTCCTTTCATTTCTTCTCTACCCAGTCAATAATTTCAACTATATTTGAGTCTTTAGTGAACATGGTAGAAATTTTTCTACTCAGGCATTTTCCACTTCTCCTATGCATGGCTCTGGCAAACTGACTACATTTTTAGGAGCTGCCATTTCATATTACTAAAAATTTTCAGTTAATCCATTCCAACAAGATGTTAAGTATAAAGAGTTTTTATTCCTTTAAAAATAATTTTTACAATCCATGCTCTAACTTCAACCCATTACAGAACTCAGCTTTGCCCCTGAATTAATTCAGCTATACTTTTGAAAACAGAAGGCATCACCAAGATAATCTAATCTGAACTTCTGCATAGCACAGGACACTTCTCACATAATATATCCTACAAACAGCAGTCCTAGAATTTTTCATGTAATTTACTTTATGCTTTCTAAAATCCTCTAATTTGGGGTTTAATTTTTCACATATTTAAGAGATATCTTCTTTAATTAATTTTAAAAGCTAGGTTTTTTTGCAATGTCGTTTAAATTCTGTAATCCTTTTTTTTCCTGTTGCCACCTACATGTTAAGCCATTGACTATTATCCTTCACATCCAGCCCTCCCAGGGATTTAAAACCCCTTGAAACAACAATGAAGGCATGGAAAAACAAAATCATATGACATGGTAATGTGAGGAATTATTCTTTGAAGTCCTACCTGAGATGATAAAAAAACCCCAACATGTAGAAATTTGGCAAGGATACTTTAACTTTCACAGGCATCCCATAATGTAATATGGAAACAGCAAAACCAGATTAATCCCAAAAGCAGTTATGTCAAATTAAATGATTCAGCAATGGCTACTCTCAGCAAATAGACCTCAATGCTCTGAAAAAGCAGACTGTCAAAGGCTACAGGTTTCATTATAAGTATTACAAGTTTCTTTTTAAGTGAAGAATCTCAAAGGTTTGTTAAAAGAAAGGTGCTGCTGAGGGATTTTTCCAACAGGAACTTCATTTCTCTCTACAAATTGTATACAGTAGTTGTCTAAACACTGGATTTCATGATGTTCGTATATATTAATTAAATACTTTCAATTGCTTTCTCTCTGTAAAAATATTTTTATTTAGCAAAATTACTTTCATATATGTGAAATAAAATTCTTTTCTTCCTTCAATTCTCTCTTGAAAATAATTCTTTCTTAAAGGTGGATTCCAGTATGATGCTCTAAATTGCCACCAAATAAAATCGTGTTTGTCATAAATAACTAGACTTTACTTTTTTTCCTAATTCACTTTAACAAAAGAACCCTCACATGATGTCATGGAACCTCCCAGTTTGAAGGATAAAGACAGACATTCTTTCAGTCCTCCCAGTTTTAGAATGGTCTCTAAATAACCATCAAATGCAGCAGAAATGAACAGATGAGTGGCACAGCTGGGTCATCTTTTAGGAAACACCAACCCAAAGACAAGATCTTTTTCCTCTTCATTTCTCAAGACCACAAGCAGTATTTTATTTTTTTTCTCCTATATCATCCCTGCTTCGAAAAATTAAGCAGATACGACAAATGGCAGCAATGACACTGCTCAGCTGGTTCAATCAAAGGAATCAAAAGAATTAAAAATAGATAGTTTTAACTCCCTCTCTAGTAGTACTAGTCACTCTAAGCAGTTAAGAGGCTGAGTTATGTGCTGTACTGCAGAGTTAAAATACTTTGCATGCTTTCCTTGGAACATGCTGAAGGATGCAGGAGATAGGACCTGGCACAGTAAACGTCTGCTTAGTCTTCCAAAAATGTGGTGCATTATATCTTTCTTTCAGCATAAAGAACTAAAAAGGGAAAGGAAAGAAAAAGGTAAAGAGTTGCACGTTGTCACCTACCATCCAGGATGAAAAATAATCTTATTTTTATTCCGTTTTGAAGCTTTCACACTTGACATACAAAGCTCTTTGTGTGGGGGGAAGAAGGCAGAAGGCCAAATGTTAACTTGCTCACCGACTGCTCTGTGTTTGGAGGAATTGTGCCCAGGAGCTGCTAAGCTGGAACATTTGAAAAACATATGTGGCACGGCTGGACACCCCTGTGCTTGGCAGCAGTGTTGGGAGGAAGGTGCTGGCTTCCCAAACCCTCACACACTCATCTTGTGGAGTGATTCCTGATTCCCTCTGCTCAAGAACTCTCACTGTGGCCCAATCACGGTTCCAAAGGAGCCAGGTCGCTACCCCAGGGAAAACCAAAGCTGCCCTGCAAGGGCTGATATTGTCAGAATAGAATGCTAAATAATTTATTTATTATTTAGACTAGAGAATAACAGGGCACTGTGTGCTGTGCCTGACATCTCTGGGGTGGGAGGACAAAAACTACAGGGTGGTCATGGCCTGAATTGTTGTAGGGCAATGGAGATGCTCCAAGGGCTGGAGCACCTTTCCTATGGAGCCAGGCTGGGAGAGCTGGGGGTGCTCAGCCTGGAGAAGAGAAGGATCCAGGGAGACCTTAGAGCCCTCTCCAGTGCCTAAAGGGGCTCAAGGAGAGCTGGAGAATGACTTGGGACAAGGGATGGAGTCACAGGACAAGGGGGAATGGTTCACACTGACACAGGGAAGGGTTAGATGGGATATTGGGAAGGAATTCATCCCTGTGAGGGTGGGGAGGCCCTGGCACAGGGTGCCCAGAAAAGCTGTGGCTGCCCCATCTCTGGAAGTGTCCAAGGCCAGGTTGAGCAGCCTGGGAAGAGGTCCCTGGCCATGGCAGGGGGTTGGAATGAGATGATATTTTAAGGCCTCTTCCAACCCAAACCATTCTGTGATTCTGTGAAAAATTACCTAGATTAAAAAAAACCAACAAAACAAAACCAAACCAAACCAAAACAAAAAAACAACCAAAAAAACCCAACCCCAAAACCTGAAAAAAAAAGCAAAAGGTAGCTCAACACTGAAGTATTTAAAAAATATGCTGAAAACACAATTTTAGTCTTCTGAATTTTGACATTATCTGAGAATTATCACTGTTTGAAGGCTTCCATTACAAAGAGGAAAAAAGGTTCTGAGAATCTCTTGAATTGGTAAGTAAAGAATAAAAAAGGGGGAGATTAAGAGTAAGCATTTTTGAAGTCTAAGCTTACTCAGAGTCTTATACCGAAAATAAAAATGTCATTTGGGGAAGGATCGATAGGTGTTGTAATGTAATACTTGATTTGGCTATAAAGTACACACATTCAGGGGTTTTTTACCCATCTCTTACAGAACATACCATACATTCTGTAGCAGCCATTAAACTGAACAAATCTGCATAGTAACTTAGGGGCTTTGATTTCATAAAGGCTTTGAGTGCCCATGTGATTAGAACAATGTTCCCAATATTATAAGAAAAGATGAGGTGTTTTTCTGGTAGACCAAGCTGATCTCAATTTTAATGCATTTTCACAGTAGAAATAGTT